ACCGCCGCGGCAGGAACGCGCAGGGCGCCCAACTGCCGTCCAGGCCCAACCAACGCGGGCAGGGGAGGAGAGGTGCGCGCGGCCGGCGGAGCGTGCGGGCCGCTCGGGGGGCGCAGCGGGAGGCCGCGCGCGGGGAAGGCAGGGGCGAAGAGGCGCCGAGGCCGTCGCGGTACGCAGCACCAGGAGGGGCTCCTTTAGGGGGTTTTGCCCCTCTCCCCTTGGAAGGTGCAGATGGTTTGACCCCCCACCCCGAGTGAGGTGCCTTGTCCCAGCCCCGGCTGGACTGTACCATCGGGCGGTGCCGCCGGGATTTCTCCCCCCCACCACCACCATCAATTCCCCCCCCACCCGGGTCCGCGGTCGGTTGGCCCCGGCCGGGCTCTGAGACTCGGAAAGAGCTTGGCGCCATTTTGGGTGGGACTAAGCAAAGACGAAACTCCCTCCCAGTCGATGGGGTACTCTGGACGCTGACTTATCCGGTTCCCTTAAGCCTTTAGGTACTTACACGACGTTGGGTGAGGGGAGCTGGAAGATCAGCGGGTCCCCGGTCCTCTCTCCCTAGGGGTGATGGAAATCAAACCCCCCCGCCACCTCCAGGTGGTTCTTCCCGCCGCAGAGTGGGAGCAGCATAAAAGGCGGGGTATCGTTAGCATAATCTGCCTGGCAACCTGATCTCGGCGTTATATGATTGGTTGAACTCTGTAAACCCCATGCCCTGCTTAGAGACGAGTAAGGCTGGGGCGAACTGACAGGCCCAGATTTAAGAGTCATGACGAAGATCCTGAGACGCTTATTCAGTCGGCAGAGAAGCCAAAAGGAGATTCATGCAATGGCCCAATGACGGAAGGCCTCTTTATTTCGTGCTCTGTAGTTCATTTAAAACCCAATCAAAGAGCGGGTCTCAGGAGGCGCTCGCCTGCGTTTGTACTCTAAGCCAATCAGAAAAGCCGACTCTTCGGATTCAGGGTCAAGCCCGCTCCGACGTTCCGCGGCCGCCGAAGTGGGGAAACGTGCACCCTGGTGCCCCAGGTGGGGAGGGTGGTGAGTTCCGAGCCGGCCCCGCAGACGCCCGAGAGGCCCCGAGTGCTGAGAAGCCGCGCTAGGGGCTGTGCGGGACGAGCGGCCGGCCGGCCCGTAGGCGTGCTGCTGCCGCGCCCCGCCTTCACCTGGAGCGGGCCTGCCTGTCTGCGGAGCGCTAGCTGACGGATGCTACGCGCGGAGCCCCAACGCCCCGCAGGCCTTGCGGGTCACCGGGGCCCCCTGAGCCTCGGGTTCAACCCTCTCGAGGGGTACGCCAAGGCCTGAGCGCTCTTTCTGGGGCTGATGGCGCTTCCCCCCACCTCTGACCCGGCGGACTGTGTCTGTGCTCAGTCCCTGCTAAAGCCTGGAGTGCCTCACCCCAGGGAAGAAGGGAGAGGAGCATCGCTCCTTTCCATTTTACCATTCTGAAAAAGGAAATGTTTCTCAGAAACATGAAGTATTATTCAACACTGGTTAACCAGTGACTTAACTCACTCATTTCTTAACCTCAGGCTTCCACATCTCTGAAAATTGGGTTCTCAAAGGGCAGCCAACCCACCAGCTGGGAGAAAATATTTGCAAATCATATATCTGCCAAGGGGTTAATCTCCATAATATATAAAGAACTCACACAACTGAACAACAACAACAAAAAAAGATCAAAAAATGGGCAGAGGATATGAACAGACATTTTTCTAAGGAAGATACGCAGATGGCCAATTGGCACATGAAAAGATGCTCAGGATCACTAATCATCAGGGAAATGCAAATCAAAACAAAACTAAGATATCACCTTATACCCCTGAGAGTGGCTGTAATCACCAAGACAGAAAATAACATCTCTGAGAGGATGTGGAGAAAAGGGAACCCTCATTCACTGCTGGTGGGAATGCAAACTGGTGCAGCCTCTGTGGAAAACAGTATGGAGATTCCTCAAAAAATTAAAAATAGAAATACCTTATGATCCAGCTATTCCACTGCTGGCTATTTATCCAAAGAGCTTGAAATCAACAATCCAAAGAGGCTTATGTGCTCCTGTGTTCATTGCAGCTTTAGTCACCATTGCCAAGAAGTGGAAGCAACCCAAGTGTTCATCTACTGATGATTCGATAAAGAAGATGTGGTGTATATATATACAATGGAATACTACTCAGCCATAAAAGAAAGATAAAATCGTCCCATTTGCAATAACACGGATGGACCTGGAGGGTATTATGTTAAGTGAAATAAGCCAGAAAGAGAAAGACAAATACCATATGATCTCACTCATATGTGGAATATAAACTAACACACAGACAGAACAGTTTGGTGGGTACCAGGGGGAAGGAGGTTGGGCGTGGGCACCAGGGGTGAGGGGGTGCATTTATATGGTGGCTGACAATAATATACAACTGAAATCTCACAAATATAAACTGTTATGACATCAATTAAAATAATAACAATAATACCCTAACCATTAAATTGAAGCAAAAAAATTGTTTTAATGTTAAAAAAAAAAAGGGCAGCCAAGTGCATAGAAATGAGCTCAAGCTTTGCCACAGACCCCCAGCTCCAGTTACCCACCCCCAATACCAATGGCAACTAAATCTGGAGGAGACGTTGGACCTTCAGGCCTGTAGGGAGCGGTTTTCCGGTCCATGACATCCACCTTGATACTTTGTTTGTAAGATTAGTGAGATTTACGTGTAAAATACTTTGCACACTGGAACTTAAACGAAAAGAAGTATTGATGATAAAACATGCAAAATTGATAAATTATTGGCTAACCAAGAAAAAGAAGGAAAAAGTATAACTAAGCAAAAGACTTGAGAATAGAAAACACCCATGGGGGGGGGGACTGTAAAATCCATTCAACGATATTTTCTTTACTGTTTTGTTTATTTAAAAAGCTGGAAACAAAGTGGAAAGTATGGGAGAACATTAACATTTTTAAAACCAAGACAGTTGACTACCTTGTAAGCAACTTGATGACTAGACCATGTCTTGTTCCCCATAGATTCCTATGCAGGCAGCACCGGACTTAGAATAAAGGCTATCAACAAGCGTAAACACTTGTTAAATTTAATTGAGAAGAAATCGAAAACTGGGGCCTGACGAAGCAGACCTTAACATTTGTAGCGAGAGACTCTATTAAGTCTTCGCCAGATACACAGACATGGAAGTCAGTTGCCTTAAGAAAGATAATGGTTAAGAGAGTCACTCGAATGTTCCCTTTAGTGCTGTGAGTAGAAAAACAACGCCAGAGGTTGGACAGGTCCAAACCTATATCCGTTGGCCTCTAGAGAGACCTTCACTAATTTTGAGTTTTAACATTATTACATCCTCTCTGATGCATTGAGATGGTCCCGACTGAGGTCTGCTGACCAGAAATGATACCAAGGAACCCAAAAGGGGAACTTGCCATGAGGAATAGGGCTATCTGGACTGGAGAGCCCAAGTTACCCTCATGGACTTAGAGAAATGGTCTAAAACTTTAGAGTGCACAAATATTGCAGATAGGCACCACCCCAGAGATTTTTTTCATTCAGAAAGTCTGGAGTGAACCTCAGGAATCTGCATTTTATATAACTTTTTAAATTTACTTTTAAATTCACACACGGTAAAAGTAACTCAGTATATGACAAGTATTTACTGAATATGTACTGTGTACCAGTCACTGTTCTAAACAGTGAGGATAGAATGGGAACCAAAAAAAAAAGTCTCTGTTCTCATGGAGCTTACATTCTAGTGAAGCAACAGAAGAAAGTTAATAAATAAGATAATTCCAGGTGTTGATAAGTTCTACCAAGAAAATAAAGGAGGAAAATGCAAAGGAGAGGGAAACTCTCCTTTCAATGTTTATGATATGCAGGCAATTTAAATAGACCAAAGAAGTTCTTTCTAAGATACTAACATTTGAGCTGTGATTTGAATGATGGGGAAAAAAAGCCAGCCAATGATAAGACCTTGGAGAACATTCCAGTCTGGGAGAATGTCAAATGAAAAGGCATGAAAAAAAAACGCATGGCGTACACATATTCATTTATTCTTCCACTGAAAAAGTATTCATTGAATGTTTATGATATGCCAGGCACTGTCCCAGGTGCTTTGGGATTTGTCAGTTAACACTGTAGACGAAAGGAAAACAACGTGTAAAAACCCTTACCTTTATGGAGCTTTCACTCTAACACACTGGAAAACAGTAAGAAAGGCAGAGTTGCTGGAACACAGGGCAAGGAGTATAGTGATACAAGAAAACGGGGAAATAGGCAAGGGCCAGGTCATATAAAGCTTTGAAGGCTATGGTATTGGAGTTGTTATTGTATTTTAAGTGCAGTCTAACATAGTTGGTGGTTTTCTTGTTTGTTTGTTTATTGCAGTAACATTGGTTTATAACATTGTATAAACAGTTGGCAGTTTTAAGCAGAGGTATGATACAACTTTTTTTTTGACAATAACTCTAGCTGCTCTAGGGAGCTTATCTTGTTGGGAGAAAGGGCAAGAAACGAGAGCCAAGGAGGATAGTTAGAGGTCTTTTACAATATACTCTAAGCATGAAATGAGGGTGATCGTGACTAAAAGAGTAGTGTAAATGGAGAGAAGTGTATGGACACCAGATATATTTTGGAGATAAAGCCACAGAACTTGCAAATGAGTAAGATAATGGGACAGAGTGGGGGTCTCTAGTGATGACAAGAGAGTGATCAAGAATGTCTTATAAAGTTGAGTCTTGAGTGACCAAGTAAATGTTGATGGGAAGACTAGGAGAGAAATAGTTAGAAAATTAAGAGTTCTATTGTAGTCATGTTAAGTTTCTAATATCTTTTAGCAATCCAATTGGACATACTGTATGGGCAGTTGGAATTCAAGGAGAGATCAGGGCTACAATACAATTTTAGGATTCATCAGACTATAAATTGTATTTACATAGAGTTACATGCAGTCTAATTATATAAGGTCATCTAATGATGATGGAGAGAGCATATATAGAGAAGACAAGAGGGCCCAGGACTATGCTATTGGGAGTGGCTGAATTTATAGGTGAGAGGTAGCAGGGGGGCCAACAAAAGAGACAGTGAAGGCCAGTAAAACAGGAGGTGAACAAAAGATGACAGTGTCTGAGAAGCCAAAGGAAGAAAATGTTTCCAAGGGATGCAGTGGTTAGCTGCAGCTAATGTTGCTGAGAAGTGAAGAAGGATAGGGCCGGCCCCGTGGCTTAGTGGTTAAGTGCGCGCGCTCCGCTACTGGCGGCCCGGGTTCGGATCCCGGGCATGCACCGATGCACCGCTTCTCTGGCCATGCTGAGGCCGCGTCCCACATACAGCAACTAGAAGGATGTGCAGCTATGACATGCAACTATCTACTGAGGCTTTGGGGGAAAAAATAAATAAATACAATTATTAAAAAAAAAAAAAGAAGTGAAGAAGGATAAAGATAGATACGCCGTGGGTCTGGAAAGATGGAGGTGGGAGTAGCTGGTAACTTGTCAATAGCAGCTTCAGGGGAAGGATAGGAAACTTAGTAGGAGTTGCCTGAGGAAAGAATGGGGGGTGAAGAGTGACATCTGTTGCCAATAGTGTAGCAGATAAGATAGGCCAATAAAAACAACGAAAATGCTGTGTATGCTATTTGTAAAAGACTTTTTTTAATGCATCACAGAGCTGGCAGCAGAGTGGAGAATCTACAAAGGTTAAAAATAAAGTCAGTGAGTAAAAAGGGAAAGCCCATAATTACAGAGGAAAGCAAACTAATAAAAGAAGAAGGAATTCTGGAAAAGAAAAAATATAATTTAGCAGCAACCATAACAGTTATTAAATTTTTTCAAGCAAGAATTATCAATGGATGCTAAAACTAGTGAATGAAAATTTGATGGTTTGATATCAACATGGTCTTGAAATATCTCCACAAAAGATACTTATTAATTACAAAGGAAAAAAATAATAACTTTACATGGAGAAAT